TCCGAGTATAATGTCTTCCATGGAAGAATAGGCAGCAGCCTAAGATCAAAGATATATTTGTTCTGTTGCTAGTTGACCCATTGGCACATGCCAATTTGTTGCAAATCAAAATTAGTCACAGTATTTACTGGCTCTCTGCCCAGTTGGTAGTTGGAGATTAAGCACTGGAGATGGCAGATACAGCCAAAGTCAGAGGCCTCATTTATGAGGGGAGGAGAGATCTGGAGATGGAATGGTTTAGGAGCATTGGACCTGTAACTGTAAAATGTAACCACATCCCCCCATTCTCTTATACAGTGGGAAGTAAGCTGTAGATCTGCAGGGCTCAAGTTCTCTGGCTGTGGGTTTAATGACTTCAGCAGGGCAGGATCACCCTAAATTCAGATGTTTCAGATGCAGGTTTAGCTCTGCTTGGGATTCACAAGCTGCATTTATTTTTTGCCTTCCTACTCACTACTTGGATTCTTTAAACTGGTCTTTGGCCTGGGTCACCCATATTCCTTGAAAAGTAGAGTTTTATTAGGTTATTCATTCACATAATGGATCTACATGGGGTATGCTGAGAATATTTGGGTTTTCAGGGCTTTTGTTATGGCGCTGGTATTTCAGAAAAGAGAGAGGGAAGGATGCATTAAGCAGCTAACCTATATTTCTCTATTAGCATAAACATGAATCTGTTAGAGTTGATTTTTAGAGCAAAGCAGAACTGCATTTTACTTGGTCTGATAACTGCTTCTTGATGCTAGCTGCTGCTGCACTGCTGGCAAGTGTTTGTCCTTAATGGTGATTGCTGTTCTACGTCACAGGACTGATCTCCAGATCTCTGTTTCTTTCGTCCCCAGAGACCCTATACTAAGCAGTACTGCAGTTTGCCCTTTAGGAATGCTTCCCCCTGTATGCCTGGAAAAAAGACGGTAAACTGCAGCCAGATACGATGCTTCCTTTTGAGTCCTACAAAGCTGTGGTATTTAGGTAATGCTCAGTCATTCTGTGAATTTTACAGTCTTGCCTTTGAGAAAAAATCTCCTGCTTGGATTTCCCTAAGCAAACCTTCCATTTTGCTGGGAAAAGTGTTGTTTTAAAGGTTATTTCATGCCTTTACTTCTCTGACCATTGCTAGCAGAATGTTAGATCTCTGGTACAGAGGATCTGTGAATTTCTGTCACTTCTGTGTTATCTCACTTCTCAAAGTATATAAATGTAAAGCTTGCTGCAGATAGTTCTACCTGCAGTAGGAGAGTACAAATACATCCATGATATGAGAAGAATGTGATTATTTATTTAATAGCATCTTGCCTCCTAGGACCTTAAAGTGCTTTTAAAACTTCAGTCAAACTCTGCATGAATCTCCATGTTCCTTGTTACTTTTATTCAAATGCAGGGAAAACTGAGGCTCCATGGGTGGCATTTGGCTGTTTGGAGATGCTGCAGTAGTTGGTCAGGTGCCTGTGCTCCTAGTTTATGAAAAAACACAGGGCACCTGCAGATCTACCTTGCTGGAAGAGACCTGGTTTCTGAGCAACACTGGAAAATGTTTAAGTGTCCAAATATGTCTGGTGTCTGAGGCCAAAAATGTTAGTTGGGATGACATCCTCATCCTGTCAAAGTGGATCTGTGGGTGAGCCAAGACGAACCCACAGCAATGCCAGAGCCCCAATCTGGGATTCATACAAAGCATTCCCTCCTTCACCCTAGCTTGTGCTGTCTTGAAATGGTCCCTATCCTTATGCAGGACTAGGATTTCTCAGGCCAAGGGCAGACCAAGGAGCATAGCCATGGTTACTTCTTAATCTTTTAAATGCCAGATCCATGCCTGTTGCCTGGTGTGGTTTGCCTCCAGACAGCAGCTGACAGATCATACCATCTCTGATCTGCCCTGAGATCTGGGAGCTGTGGTGAGGTCCTGATTCCTACCCTGGTAAAGCTGCTCCATTAATAGCTATCAAAGAGCCTGAAGTTTCCATCCAAACTTTATCTGGCTTTGCAGTGAGCTGGAGGATTGAAGACTGTCACAGGGGAAGGGAGGGGGCAGCCATGGCTCACCCGGAATAGCCTGACCTATGACGGCACCTACCAGCCTGGGGAGGGGAGTTGTCCTGTGAGCTCATGGGTTATTAGCAGTGATCACAGACATGCCTGCAGTCAGCAGCACACCCAGGGCCATCTGCTCCATCCTTGGCTGGTTTAGGGGGTCTAGAGTAATCTGTTAGTACAGTTTGCCTGTACGGCTCTATAGAGAGCTGGGAGCAGGCATGAGGGGCCAGCATTGTGGAGCCACCATTTTATGCTGCTTAAATGTTAGGGTTTGACCTCTAGGCTGTTTGTTTTTGAGAGACAGTGACATGAGAAGATAACCTCTGCCCTGCTGCAGCCTAGGGCTGTTGTGTCTCTGCTGTGTCATAGCAATAAAGGGATCAGAGTGGTCTGTATGGGCTGGGACTCACCTATAGGGCGGGCAGATGTGGGGCACAAGCCTTCGTCTACCAGATGGGGGAGAAGTGTAGGAATCAAGAACAGGTTTTTTGGAGTAGCCAGGGATTTCACTTCTTACAGCCTCTCTCTTGTAACTGGTTTTGCTATCCTTACCTTGCTCCTCTGCTGACATCCCTGAGTCCTTTGTTTCACCTGCCCCATGTCACCACTGTGGAAAAATGCAGGGTTTCTTATTACATCCTCCCCCCTCTCACTCAGAACTGCTCCTCAGCTGATCACTGTTGTTGCAGCAGGAATTTTTTCCTTAGAGATAGGCTGAGTTAGAGGCCTTTCCAGTACCCAGCGTTTTGCAGGACTTGTGCAGAGCACCTCAGCATAATGGAAGAAGATTTTCCCAGCTGGCCGGATGTCCCCAGACTCAGTGTGCTTTTCCCCCAAAGACCAGTGGAACTGCAGATTAATTTCTTGGACATGTGGAAAGCAGGCACTTGGCCACTGCAATGAATAGTCTGTGGGTGCTGCTTAGTGTTTTACACTAGGAAGCGCTGAGGCTGTTCTAAACCTTTGACCCTGGTGACATACTCCAGATTCCTCCCAAGTTAAATGGTCTCCTTCCCTTCCCTCCAGGCCTGAAAGCATCACATCTCCTGCCTAGCCAGACAGATGCATTGCCCCATAAAAAGCTCCTTTATGTCGTCAATAATTCTGTTGATCTGCACATTGGGAACGTCATTCTGCTTTGGAATCTGCAGCTTTTGTGCTTTATTGTTATCAGTGGTGGGTGCTACTAGGATGATGGCTCTTCAGACATCTAGAAAGTCACCCAACAGGTAGAAAAATCCATGTTGCATAGATCTAGTAGCCTAGGGGAGTACAGCTGAACACAGCCTTCAAGCAGCATCCTTTCTGGAAGAGGTTCGCTATACCATGGTGATGAGAGAGATGAAGCCATACTGAACCCTTCTCTCCTGCTGGCATGGCAGAGGGATGTGTAGCCTCAGCAGCAGTGTTGCTGTGGCATGTGCTCCCCTTCACTGAAGCAGATGAGCAAAGGAGGCACCAGTGGCTGCTGTACAGGCTTCTGCCTGACCAACCAATATTGCGCCTTCTCTTCAACAAACTTATGTGCCAGTGGTTTGAGAGGAAGAAGGGAATACTCATGCTGTCTGTCCTGCTGTGCAGACAGGTTTACCAAACATGTTAGGTGCTTGTAGCTGCAGTATTTGTTGCTATCACTTAAGCTGTACAGTTGTGCTTCTAACTCTGGAGGTTTTTGGTTCAGCCCTTGATCACAAAGAAGACAGTTTTCATCTATATGTATCCTTTCCCTCCTTTTGATAACTCTTGAATACCTCAGTGACTTTCAGGGGTGAAGAGAGACTGTTGAACAGAGGGAGAATGAAGAACAGAGATTCTCTCCTAGGCATTCAATCTCAGCCTAAATAAGGGGATTTATGAGCTGGGTGACTGCATTGACTTATTGTGTCTAGAGCTAGAGACAGTTATTGTGATCAGGGATGAGATGGGAATATCTGTTTTTATGGGGGAGAGGGGAACTGAGATTAGCCAAACAGACATAACACAAATGTCCTCCACCTTGGCAGTGTAAAAAATGAGAGTTGGCCAGTAGCCGCACTGGCATTTGGACTAGATGATTGTTGTAGTCCCTTCCAATGGAAAATGTTCTATTCTATTCTGCATCCTGTTGCATGGACCTTCTCAATGCCATTTTGAGGACCACATATGAAAGTCTGATCCCTGCCCTTCAGGGGAATAATCCTCTCAATATTCTGTGAGAAGATCCATGGGTGGCAAAGGGGGCTGAGTGAAGGAAGGTGGGTTGGCTGTTGTGGCTACGTGGCAGTCCCTCAGAGCAGCTTCTCTGGGGCCACTTAGTAGTGGCCTTCCTGTAGACTTGATGGCAGTAATGTGCACGTGCTTTTCCATCTTAACCCTGTTCTGCCCAAGAGGGACTGAACATGTGGTTAAAGGACTGCTGCGCTTAGCAGAGCAAGAGAGACTTCAGCTTTCCAGTGCTTTCTGCTTCTTGGGCAGTCATGTTCTTGCCAGCCAGGGTTTCCTTGCTTTTCAAGAAGTTCCCTCAGCACCCTTTCTAGCTCACCTCTGTCTCCCCAGAATCTCCTGTGACTGAGGACTCTGGGCTTTTCTCTGTTTTTACTGGCCTGGTGAGACAAGGCCTTTTTTTTTTTTTTTTTTTTTTTTTTTTTTTTTTTTTGTTCATGGTCAGGTTTTATTTTCGATTAACAAAGATGTTGTAATTGAGCTTAACCAGCTGCTGTTGTCTCCCTGCTGCTGGAGTTGCTTGGGGCATGAGAAATAACTGCTGCCCACCTACACAGCTGCAGTTTGCCCAGCCTTCTCATGATGGACCTACCTTCATGCCCAGAAAGCCTGGGAACAATCCACTTAGCTGCATGGAGAGATCATTAAGAGAAGGGTGATAAGGGAAGTAGTCTGATAAAGATTTTTTTTGTAGGCTGTGGGGAGCTGGTGAGAGGAACAGGACTGGCTGCTGACACTCTCAGGCGACGCTTAGACTGAGCGTCATGTCGATTAATGGTGTAAGGTCCCCAGTGGCTCTCAACAGCCAGCTCTTGCCAAGCATGTGCATAGCGAGAAAAGGTGGAAAGAAGGTGGGACTTTCACTGCTGCAGCACCTTCTCTCCCTAAGGAGGTTTCTGCATGGCTTCTGTGCTTGAGAACAGTCCAGCTGTTCTGGGAGCAAAAAAACCGCACCCTGTCCGGACCAGAGACTAGTGTTAAATCAGGATAAACGTAACCACACAACACAAGGCATATTAGGGATGTGGTTTGTTTCTTGCTGGTCCAGGAGATAAACAACTGGGTTGCTGTTGCCTTGTCTGCAAAAAGCATTAGACCAGTGAAGGACAAACCTCAATCATGCTCTTCAGTACAGCAAAGAATAAGAGGTCTGAGTTCATCCTGATTTGTCTGTAAGTCCTTTTTCAAGCTATGACTGTGGAAAAATATTCCTGAATTTTGAGCGCAAGAATAAGAGAGACTTTTTAACCTTCCTTCTTTCAGCCTCATGAGCAAACGCTTGCAACTGTTTCTTTGCCTCTGCTTTGCTATATCTGTGTCTGAAGTCTCCTGTCTTTCTCCTTTCTTTCTGCAGGTCCTTCAGAAGCTTGGGAAAGCAGATGAAACAAAAGATGAGCAGTTTGAACAGTGTGTGCAGAACTTCAACAAACAGCTGGTAAGATAATTGCTGATATGTAATTACATCCTGGGTTTCAGTATTAGCTTCCAGTCATCTGCTGCAATATGCAGTTAAAGCCCACTAAATTAAATGATGCTATAGGCCTATTGAAGTGACCCACAACTCGTAGCTGTTCACTTATGAGAAATTACACTGTGTCTTCCAGTGTCCCTATTATGGAGCCAGTGAGAGTGTATGCTGAAAAATAATACTTGTTCTAGGCTCAAGTTTAGGAAAAGAAGTAACTCAATCAGAACACTTCCTTCTGTTGGCAGCTGCTTTGTAATGTAATTTTTCCTGCTGGGCTGGAAGCAGAGATACAAGAGCAACATTGTGCTTCTGAAAGATGGATAGGATGGGAAACAGATTAGAAATCAAAAATAAAATGGAACAAGGCAGTTTCAGTTTCCTAAGTGCAGGAGAGGGCAAAAGAGATCAAGAAAGCAAATGGTGAAAAGGGAACATCCTTTTATGGCTAAGATCTAAATATAACTTCCTCCCCATTCTTGCACAATCATTGTGTCAGGCCTGAGTCAGTATTCTTTCACACGTCTGCTTTGTCCCTGTATTTTAGCACACAAAAATATTTCAACAGTGCAGCAATTTCCCTCCACCCTCCTACTCCAACAGCAGTAGGTTTATATCTTGAACTGGGTGTGGGTTTAGTGGTTTTTTTTGTTTATCTGGAGCTTTCAGCCACCCAGAGGAGGGGAAAACATCAGTTACCCCACTGGATTTGCGTGCTGGTGCTTGGTGTCAGGGGAAGTGTTGCTTCTGTTTCATGGCAGGAAATGCATGCTACACCAAAGCTCAGGTAGTGCTGAAGAAATCTTTTAGCCCCCTTGGGTCCTGATGTGTTTAGGACCTTTTTTCTGGGGCTGATAGAGGCAGCTGCATCGTGTCTGTTAAGACTCAGCAGATGTGTCGCAAAACCAGCTGAGAAGGGATTTGCCACAGCTGAATATAATGAAAATCTTTCAGTCTGACTTTGACTTATGTCTAACCAGAGCTGACTGCAGATTCCTGGAGACTAATGCTTGTTTTCTTGGCAGTGATAGTAGCTGTTGCTCCAGAAGTTCGTGCAACATCTCTATAGCATGTCTACCAATGATATTCTCTTGTACACAGAGGAATAGTTGGGCTTCTTTCTGATGGCATGACATTCCCAGGTGTCACTTTTCTGCATAATTTTTAAGTATCAGCAGTCAGGAAATAAACTTTTGAAAGGAGAAGTACCAAAAAATCTCAAATCCAGACTTCTTGATCTGGCTGTCCAGGATAGCTTTTCAATTTCCAAAGCCATGAGTTCCAGTGGTGCACCAAGAAGCCTGTTAAAGAAGCACTGCCTCTGAACCCCTTACAGCTGTATTTATTTTGCTGTCTTTCAGGGGCATGCTATAAACTAAAATCTCCCAAATAATTTATCAAAGGAGCTGGAGGCTGCTCTGTATTTGCTGCTTGGGGTCTGTTGGTTTTGCCTTGGCCCTCAGTTTCCCTATTACTAGAATAAATGCATACACTGCCCATTTTACAGGGCAAACCATAAATGTGAGTTAGGCTGTCCAGGGCTGAGGAGTTGTTACGATGCTAAGAAGACTAGGGAAGAAACTTCACCTATATGTGCATATATACACACTTGTTTTTGTTTTTATATGTATGATATGTGTGTGTAGTATAGCTATGTGTGAGATTTCTGTGGTCTTTGCTTACACAGTCTGCTCCAGTGGGAAATGTAAATCTGGAGGAAAGCTGATCTTTTGCTTCAGGCTTGTGAAAGAACTGTTCTCCTGTGGAAATGGTTGGGGTGTGACCAGGGAATGGCCTTGTTTGCTGCTTCATTAGAGGCTCCTCTAACTCCAAGAACTGTGTTGGGCCACTTTGACACATGTTCCCATGCACGGGCTGTCAATGAATGGAGAACAGGTCTAAAAATCACTTATTTTCAACCAAGGCATCTTGTGGTTCTTTCAAATGGTGGTTGAGTGGACCTAAAGGAATGCATTGCACTTCCCAGCTCTCTGTCCATTCAGGTTCATAAAAACCTGCCACTCTGAGGTCTCTGAATGGTAGGAGCTTTTTAGCTCAGATGGATTTCTTGGGTGACAGATGATCTGGATGTAACCATGTTTCTGCAGGGCTACAGGGCTCACCTGTGTCTCCTCGAGACTTGGCAAGCAGCACAACTGGCCCTCATATTACCACCTTATGACAGATTATCTTTGGCAATTAACCTCCCAAAAAGTTAATTCTAAGGCTCCCCCCTCCTTCCTTTAGCCAGTGTCACTTGTGTTCAGGCACTGGCACAAGGATCTGTTCTAGAAATTGTCCTCACAGTACTGGGAGTAAGAGGCCTACAGCAAAGCTTGCAACACAGCCCCTGCCTGAGGGCTTGCGAGCCTTTGGCTTCTCATCTCCTGCATTTGAAATACTGGAGAGACAGAGAGGGGGAGGCTGGTGGCAGCCTTCCTGGCACCTGACACTGTGTTGTGTTTCTGCCTGACAGAGTAGCTGGATTTGGATACCCTTCGTGAGCTGTCAGTCATGTGGAAGTTCTGGGTTAGTTTATAGTGTTTCACAGCAAACGCATGAGAGGCAAGCTGCTGCTGGCACAGGCTGCATCCATCTCTGCCCATACCACACAGCGTTCGGCACAGCCTCAGCCTGCAGGGCTGGCAGCATGGACTTAATCTTGCTCTTGCAGTGTAGGTTTGGCTGTGGACCATTACAGTCAGTAGCTCAGAGAGACTTTCTTTCGGGCAAGAACCCTTCATGCCCAGCAGTTTCCATTTCAGCCCTATGTCGCAAACAAGTTTAACAGCTTGCCTGATAGCCCAGGATGGGAGCTTCTCACCAGTTGTTCATGGCTTTGTCTTAGCTCTGAAGTTTTGCTGAGTGGGGGCTTATCTGGAGTTGTTGTTTTAATGCTCCTCCCTTCCCCAGTAATTTCTCAGTCTGATCTTCCAGCCTCATACTAATCTAATCTGGAACAGGACATTACCTGTCCCTCTCAAATGTAGAACGTCTCTCCTGATAATAAAAAATCCTTCCCATTGGAACTGCAAAACCAGGGAGGTTATTTAAAGAAGGGGCTGCAGTCCAATATTAGGATGAAAGAATTTCCTTTGAAGATTGGGAGAAAAAGGGTTTTAGGAAACCTCTCTACTACTGAGAAACAGCTCTATGGAAGATGACATACTTAGCTTAGGTTCAGTGTAAAATATGGTAAATAATCCCCCAAAAAACAAGAAAGCAGAAAAAGATACCAAACCACTTGTGTGTTTTTCTTTCACAGAACTATAAGTAATAGGTGGTTCACTTGGTCTTTGGAGAAGCAGCTCTTCCAGACTCCCAAGCATAGCACTTTTATTTTTAAATATTCATCTTCCTGTACATACTGTCCTTCATATTATACCTGGTTGTGTTATAGGCTCACAGGGTTAAATTACACTGTGATTGCAAGTATGGCAATATCTGCTCAAACAAGACAACACTTGTGTGTTTGAGTAGAACAACTTACTGTGGTCACTTCTACATCGACACATAATGACACTGCCCCTGTGCAAAGGTTTTAAGTCAGTTTTTTAGTGCACAGAGATGAGGAATGAATATGGGAATTGGCACTGATCTTCCTTTTTTTTTTTTTCCCCCCCTAGTTTTACTTTCCTTTTGTCTTGTTACTCTAACACTGTTATTGGAATTCTGTTACTCTGATAAATATATATATATATATACACACACACACACACACACACACACACACACACAATTTCTTCTTTATGTTCTTGCGGTGTAAAAATTACTGTGCTGTTAGATTTTTGAATAGATTCAACCATACCTCTATAGTTTCCCTTGAACACTCTTAAGCTAACTCTTCAGTAACTGGGAGTGGATTAATTTTCCAGATTCTGGTTTAGCTCTCTTTCCTACTTTTTTTTACCTTTGAGTTTAGGAAGCATCTTTTAAATGTTCATGCAAGCATGTTGAAAGCTTCTGTTTTATACAGTATTTGAGAGTGTCTAACTGCATTTTGAGAGGTGTTTATGCAGAGCCTTGGCTGTACTTGTCAGCTTGCTATAGCCTGCTTGAAGAAAGCAGGTGCTGCATGCATGGAGAGAAAGCAGTTGCCAGTTTCTTGGGAAAGCGTTAATGCTTAAAATAATGAAAAGAAACCCTTGTAGCAAGTGAGGGAACTACTTTACTGGTGGTCAAGAAGTAAAGCAATGGAAAAGCCCAAGAGAGACTTGGATGGAGAACCTGGGTGCCCAGAGGAGCTGGGGAAATGGGATTCCTGGCAAAACTCTGAACATGAGCCTCTCTGAAAATCTTTTTGCCTGCAGATCTTATAGGCTGTAAAGTCTATTTGGTTTCCCTGACAGGCTTGGGACTTTTAAGGGCCTTAGGTAACCACATAGTCATAGAAATCAGCTCTAACTCTGACTTTAAACATGAGTAAGAAGTGATTGAGAAAGACCACTCCAGTTGCAGGATGCAGCACTGTATATTGGTTGACTGCACATCACAGCGAGACAAGTGGTGTTGAGGATGCCTGGAGAACACAGAAAGCTGGTTGGGCATTGATGCAATTGCATGCTCTAGTATTTGGGTCCTGACTTGCAGATTTTTCAGGTGGTCTATTTAAAAATCTTGATTTGATGTTTAACTGTGATGCCAGTGTATCTCTTGGAGGATACTTTCGTCCCTATGACTTTGGGACTAGCTATTGCAACTTGAAGAGTTCATGAATTTGTATTGTGTTGTTGCTGTGGCAGGACTTGGGCAAATATAGGCACAATTTTAGAGGTGGTTTCTGATTTTAGATGCTGTAGTTTTGAGTTACAGTTCTAGATGTTGCATTGCATAAGTGTGTGGTGGGCAAGTTTGGCAGAGGACATTCCCTACCAATTAGTTTCTGATAACCTCAAAGTTGTATATTCAAATTTAGTTGTTCTTAAAAATGATGCAACTGCAGGTTGATAATGTATCTGTCTGAGGGATTTTGCATGGTATTTTTTTCTGTGCTGTTTCCTCTTGTATTCTGACATCTCATCTTGCCAGTTCCAGGATGTGATTCCTAGCATGGACCAATTCTAGGCAGACAGGACTGCTTTCCTATAAGACTTTCTTGCTTCCTGAATGGGGCACAAGCAAACACATATTGCAGCTTGACTGAACTGTTGCTTGTCAGCTTGGCTTCCCTGATGGTCCTCTGTGTGTGCTTTATGATTACTCTGGCACCTCTTCCCCAGTGGTTTCTGATTGCACTGTTAGGAAAGCTGCATCTGCCCAGGTTTCCCCATTCACCTTAAGCCAGCAAAAAAGCTCTACATCTTTATGCTCTGTGTTTTAAGATCCCCTAGGTTTTTTTGCAGCAGATGTGGTCATTAGTCCTTTGGGTCAATTCCCAATGTTTCTACAGATTCTAGGAGTCTGACTTTCTTTTATAAAAGCGGCCAGCTCTTTCCCATCCCTCACTTCCTTTGTTGATGGCAGTAGGAAGAGAACAAATGTGAACTCATCCAGAACTTTCGAGGCAAGAAAAACAAATTGGGCCGTAGTGTTGGAAGCAGATGGATTTATCCACAAAGCTGTGCTGGCACTGCCACTTCAACAGCTGGGCAGATTTAGCCTCTGCCTGGAGAACGCAGCTGCACTGAGAGCACAAAGGATCACAGCATGAGCTCAGTTGAGGCGAGGGGTGCCTGTGGTGGGGAGGGCTGATGGGAAACATCTGCTTTTGAAGTTAGTAGCTCTGAGGCAGCTGTTAGAGATGTCCTGTGGGCTCCCCATCTCTGGGGTCATCTTCAGCTGTCAAAATTTATTATGCTGGCAGCCCCCCCAATGGGACACAAACTGAGGAATGGAATGACAGCAGGCTGTGAGGAAGGTGTGAGGTGTAGTTGTTGTTTCCTGCATTCTTGTTTTAACACCTTATTTGGGGGATAGTGAGGATCCAGTGAGATACTGCAGGGTAAGAGAAACCCTTTTATAACAGAGATCTTTGTGTCTCCAATTTTTTTTCCGTACTTCTTGCATACTCCAGAGGCTGTCTGCACAGATGTCCTCAATGTTTGCTCCTTCCCTTGTTTTAACATGCTCTGTGGTGGTTAATCAACTTCTCAAGCGTTGCTTTTCTCTTCCTTTCATTTCTGTTTGTATAATGTCACTGTCTGGATTTGGGAGTATTCCATTGTCTGTTTTGCACCACTGTCAATGACATATGGTAAGGTAGAGGGGCGATGGGCCTCAGTATTGCTTATCCTAGTGCAGGAGAGCAGTTGTATGGGGAGTGCATGTACATGTCCATGTCTGAACCAGCTTTGCTGTAAAAAATCTCCATGACCTTTTCAAATCTGTGTTCTTGTACTACACTCAGCTGTGTTACCTGAAGGCTCAAACTGGCAAAACTCAGCTCAGCTTCTGGTTTTAATCCTTTGTTTCCTAGTGAGTGAGATCTGCTTCTGGCAGGCCATCTCCATAGTGAAGCTAAAGAAAAAGATGATTAACTCTGTATCTGCAAGCTCTACTGTACAGGACAATATAAATATTTGAGCAGATCAGAGGTCCCTTGTAGGCACTTTGCATGGGGGTTTTGGTTTGCAGTGTGGCAGGAAAGTGTGGCGAGCTAAACTGCTCCCAAACCAGTACAGAAGTCAATTGCAGGTATCTCCTACAGACTCTCTTTAGTTTATATTTGTTTCATGGAGCCATTAGCCCTTGGCTTCTAAATTAATTGCTGCCCTTAGGACCCTCTCTAGTTGCTTGTATGAAATCAAAACACTAAACCTGGCTCTGCTGGGAAGAGCAAATCACAGCTTTACAATCAAGTTTCTTGGTACCTTGATGGTACTGTTGGCCAAATGTGCTTGCGGGTCGCTAGCTGTGGGTTTGCCAAGCTGGCTGTGTGGTCTCCCTGTTAACATTTATGTTTCAAGTGGTCGTAGGACTGGCGTGTAGCCCATCTGCAAGACCACTTAGAAATGCTTGACTCCTCCTTCTTCCACTGTCTTTATATGAGAGAATAATGATGGTCTTCTCCTTAAATTCACAGTCTGAAGGCACAAGGCTGCAGAAGGACCTCCGAACTTACTTGGCTTCCGTAAAAGGTAAGGTCTGCATAAGGAGAGGATTGTTTACCTATGCAATGAGGTTTCTGCAGCCATCCATTTCCTGGTATTTCCTCAGGTGTGAATTCTAGGAAAGGTTAGCCTTGTCTGGGTGGAGGATCTTTCAGAATCCTTCAGGGTCAGCTGGCATGGAGTGGGCTTGTGCTTTGATGTCAAACAGGTGGTGCTGTCTTAGCAGATAGACTATCATATCTTCTGCTTAGAGGAGGATGAACACAAAGGGTTTGATGTGACTGCATTCTTGCTTCCTTTCTCCCCCTGGTTACCTTCCATCTCTGTGTTACAAGGGTCAGACATTCTGTAAGGAAGAGCTTAGCATTTTTTATAAGCCTCCTGTGTCCCCATTTCTAAGGATGAGGGTTAAACTGTGAGGAACACACTATTTCCTTCTTTCTGAAGCAGTTCTCTCTTCTTTCCTAGCCATGCACGAGGCCTCCAAGAAGCTGACAGAGTGTTTGCAGGAAGTTTATGAGCCGGATTGGCCTGGGAGAGATGACACAAATAAAATAGCAGAGGTAAGACTGTCCAGGATGTGGGGTCACCAGGCTTGATCTCTCAGCTTTGGAAGTTGTCTGTGTACCACATTTCTTCAGGCACGTGACTTTGCAGAAGAATTGGAGACAAACTCAGCATTGGGAAGAAGGGAAAGCTAAAGAGATGTGGCCTGTATTTTTGTCTGTAGAGGACACTGTGCCCAGAAGCTTGAATGCTATACAGAGCCCTAGGCTTATGCCCACAAGCAATTTTTTCCCCCAACAGTGGCTAAAGAGGGATAGAAGATGCCAAAAGAGAGTCAGCAGGGTCAATTGGATGATTTCTTATGCTTTGTGCAAGACAAAGGGGAAACTAAATCTATGGTCAGAGCAACCATTGTGTAGCTGAAACAATCCACACAGAGTAGTACCACCAGCTGCCTTATTTTAGTTGCCACCTTGTTTGAGCCATGTGGCATTCCAACCTGCTGTTCTTCTCATCCTTTGGTGAGGTGATGCCTGTCCAACTTGCCCAGGTGTTTTCTGTGGAGCTCAGAGCACAGCTTGTCATTGACGGCTTGGCTCTCCCTTGGCATGTGTGTGTGGTGGGTCCAGCTGGATGCAGGTGCCCTCTGCTCTCTTGCTCAGCTGTTCTGCTGAGCAGCAGCTGTGGCAGTTCAGCTTTGTGGATCGATCTGCCACGAGGCTGTAGGACTGGGCTTATCTGCAGCTGTCTATGGCATTGGAGCAGTGGGGAAGTAGTCGAGAGGAGAGCAAGAGAAGGATTCTTTCTTTTCCCTGCAGAAAATCTCACCTGAAATAACATCTACATTTTGCCTAGGAAATACTGACTTAAAAGCAAATAAAACAAAACCTGAACATTTCCAGGTTACGTGGAAAATTTCCATTAGGAAGTGCTGTTGCAATAAATAATCGAGTTGTAATTCAGCTGGTTTAGCTTCACCTTTTCTCTTGGCCTTGTTTCTTCCTGAGCCACTCTGGTGCCTCCTGGGAGACTGTCCCTTCAGAGAATTTGAGCCAGAGAGCTCAAAGGGAGCACAAGTCCTGAGAGCTTAACTGTAGCTACTCTGAGGGTCTGCAGAAATGTTTCCAGCCCTCCACCTCCCCCTTTAATGCATTTGCTTATATTTCTCTCAGGAAAGACAGGCAGGGCAAAAGTGTTATTCCTCCCCCCCCCCC